ATAGAATTATTCATCTGCTCGCCGTGCGTCCGTACAAACGGCCGGAACTCCTCTTACGTCTTAAACAGGATGGACTTACCAACGAGGAGAAGGACCTGGTCGATGATATTCTTAGCAAATTCGGTCGACCCGGAAAGCAGGGTGATTTCAGTCTCGTCCCCACGTTTTACAATCTGATTGAAACGTCCTGGCCCGGTTATTCCCAGTCTGATAGAGCAGCTGTAACTTCAAAAAAAGTATGTTGGTTTTTAGTTTCTTGCTGTCATTTGAAAATAAACCTTTTTTTCAGCAAGTACAACGTAGGTCCGTCCATATGCTTTCGCTGCTCCAAAAGCATTTGTAGCTACATGAAGTTGATGCTATTTCGAGCAATATTACTTCCTGCAAAAGATTGTAATAGGGAGCGAATATTCACAAGTATTTGTCCTACCCAAAAGATATGACGCCGACTGCTAAACATCCAACAACCATCTATTCAGTATCTCGAAAGACTTCAATTGTCTTTTCCGTATGGCTTGTAGTACTAGTATGTCGTCGTAAAAAAATTCAACAAGTTTTAATTCCCTGAAATATCCAAAAGTAGGCCTCAATTTACAATATCCTGCCGCCTTTTTTCCATCTCATCAATTTCCCTAAGTAAATAAACTGAGTTATTTGTTTGTTTATAAATCAGTTTTGCCGTCTCCACACAATCATAGTTGATATACACTATAGTGCTTTTCTCATACTCTTGATAGTCTCTAAATTTTATTGGGCAGTTTCTTGGCCTTCAGGTGCTGTGGTCTTGTGAATTAGATGATATCGAAGGTAGTTAACATCGACACCTCTTCATGCTCATCGTCTGACGTCTAATAAATTAAACATCCGCATTCCACAATACTTTCATTATTCATCTAAGCTCACGGGCACTTCTTGAGTTTTGAAACAATAAAAATAAAGTAAAATCTCGTCATACTTACTTCCCGAAATTCAGAGTTTAGTGAAGACTGAAGAATATTACACAAAATGCGCTTTATTTCGAGGCAGTCTTTGAATTTCGATTTTTTAACAACCTAACTTGGCAACTTAAGCATTCTAAGGAGACAGTGCTTTTCAAGTCCTCATCTTGTAGTCTACGTTAACTTAACTCCAATGACTGCTCGAGGTCTACTTAGTTTAGCTGTCCTACTATTAATTTAAAATCACAGAAAGCATTCGATTTTATCCCATTCCTTGAAAAGTCATAAGCTCCCGGTCTACGTAAGAACTTTC